AGCTTAGTCTTGTTGAAGAAGACTAACAACTTTGATGAGATTGGATCACTGGCTAAACCCAAAGTCATGCAACATCACCTTTGGATTAAGCAAATAAAGCAGCTGCATGATCAATACATTTTCTTTCTTTTGTTATGAGTCACTGATAATGTACATACGTGAATTTGAGATGACAAGAAGAAGCCAATTGAAATAGAAAGTCCTTACAAACTTCACGTATAACATTCTTAGTCACAAACTATACTACAATGAATCTTACCTGCCAATACATAAATACAGAATTGAACGGAAAAATAAAATGTAATTGCAAGTAAATTTAGTAGATAAAAGTTAAATCAATAATCCCCATGCATAGACCATTAATTTTATGAAACTGACACGTGTTTTGAATTACCTGAGTAGAAATAATTTTAAATCAATAATCCCCATGTGAATCAATAATCCCCATGCATATAACCCATACATGTTTCATTAGGTCAATTAATTCAAATGAATAAAAAAAATTAACTTAGTACATAGAAGTGCGAAAAATATGCAAAATAACTTACAAACTTTATTAACAGAGGTTCAATCCGATCTTGATATGGAGGATTTATTCCTTCATTAATCTAGAAAATTTTATCAATTTCTCAATATTTAGGGTTCAAACCATTAAACATAGAACTGAAAACGAAATAAAAAAAAAAAAAAGAAGAAGAAGAAGAAGAAGACGAAAAAGAAATCGAGAAGAGAAAGAAAAGATGAATGAGAACTTGAAACTGGAAGTTACGATTATTTCTTTCTTTCTTTGGTTTAACTTATGCAAAATTGAAATTCATATTGAATTATCGAGACCATTGAGTTTCTTTGAATTTCTTATATGACTAACATTTAATAGATACATGAGTTCATCTTTTCAGATGCCTTTATACATTGAACTCTAAAAATATCAATTATTTTCATAAACATACATTAAATGACTAATTATAAATTAATATTAATTATTTTAATTTTGATAGGGGCATTTTGGTCATCACAAAAAGGGGAAGAAACCTCCTCTAATATTCCCACTTTTATAAGTAGTATAGATTACATCTTACACATCGGTATGTGTGTATATATATATATATATATATATATATATATATATATATATATATATATATATATATACGCCCATATACACATGAGATAAATCCAGCCTTTTTAAATTTTTGAGTAAAACTTATTAGTTCTAAGTTTCATTTGATATACAGTAGAACCTCGATAAATTAATAATCTCGCTTAAATAATAAAATTTCCCGATCTTGACTCGGGGACAACATGCTAAATTAATAATTCGCTAAATTTATAAGATAATATACATTCGAAAGTTCTAAGAAGCCCCATATAATATATAAATTAATAGTGCGTAAAAATACTACTTAAATTACATGGTTTAGTACATATTTTATAGATCTATGAAGGCTTAACAGTACACAATATAATTTCATTGTCCGCTTGTTTCTGGTTGAAGTTCACATTACCATCAATCTCGTCCCTCACTTAATTTTCTTAACATGGTTAGACTTTCGGTATAGTTTTCTCATAACTCAAGATAAATTGTTCTATACCATTACAACTTTAAGAGCTTTCGTTCGTGAAACGAGCTCTATAGTGCATTGAACTAATAGTACAATGAATAATATATACTTAAAAAAATAAAAATAAAATGTATTTATTGAAAATAATAATAAAAGTAATTTCATAAATTAATAAGTTATTAATCAATGTATAAATTAATAATTATTAATTTATCGATAAGTTAATATTTCGCTAAATGAATGAAATTTTGATTGTCCCAATTGTATTAGTTTATAGAGGTTTAACTGTAAACCCAAATAATTAGCTTATACCCTTTTTACCCTTTCAAATCTTAATTAGGATTTGTTTTATCTTATTTTATTTTGATTATTATTATTTTTATTTTTTTTAATTTATTGTTATTTTATTATTATTTTTTTCAGCAGTGGCCTGCGTGGTCGGAGCCCCGGTTAGCTGACTCAACATTGGTTAACTTCAATTAGTTGACATTTATTTTTCTTTTCTTTTATCTTTTTTTTTTATTTTAATTTTTTTTCCGGCGGCGGATCGTCGGAACTCCTGTTCCGGCCGCGAAAAGACTGTTCTATGGACATGTCTCGCTCGTCCCGCCGTGATCCCAGTGTTCCGCGCGTTGCTGAGCAAAATTCATTTTGGTTAGGGATTCCGGAACAAAGGGCACCGTTCCCGTTCCGTTTCGACCGTTCCGGCGCCGTACCCTGGTGGCCATCAATTTTATTGTACACCACACTCACAGCTGTATGATTTCAATGTTAGGTCTGGCATCAACTTGATGGCTGCGGGACCAACTGATATTTTGTCCGCAACGAAAGTCACTTTGGATACAATAGACATTTGAGATAGTTTTCATATTGTATATTGTATTCCATCTCAAAATTGGAATAACACTTTTACATATTGAAATTAAATAGACCTCCCCTCTTAAATGAAATAGTACTCAAATTTTCACCAATAAGCACATCCATTTAATATGTGTTATAAATAAAGGTAAAATTAATGTATATGACAAAATTACCCTCAACTCTTTAAACTCAATTCCTAATAGTAACCTCAATTTAACTTCAATTTAATCAATTTTGACCACAAAAATTCAATTTTGACTTTTTCTTTTCAGAACTTTCTTTTGCCGCCGGTTTCGGACGTTTACTTTTTTTTTTTAATTTTTATTTTCTGTCTGCTTTTTCCGCCGTCGGTTTCCGACATTGACTTTTTTTAGTGTTTTTTTTCCTGAAATTTTATCCGATTTTTTACGCCCGTCGCTGAACGTTGATCGTAATTACAGTATCATTAAACTGCCGCTGACAATAAACGTACTGTCATTGACAGTACATTTACTGTCAACTACAACAATATTATTATTTTTTTGGCTTTTTTTTTCTTATTATTTTATTTGATTTGTTAACAAGCCAACGTAATTATATTACTCTCGTTGAAAGGTAAAATTACTGTAAACACAATAATATTAATGTCAACAACATCAATATTTTTTTTTTTGGGTTTTTGTTTTGTTTGATTTGTTGACCGGTTAATGTAATAATAGTATTGTCTACTATTGTAATATTACTGTAAACACAATAATATTACTGTGATTGACAGTAATATTACTGCTGTTACAGTAATATTACTGTTGTTACTAATGTGGATGACAGTAATATTACTGTCCACCACATCAATATTAATTATTTTGACTTTTTATTATGTTTGCCTTTGTTGAACGGTCAACATATTAATATTACTCTATTACACAATAATAGTGGTTTTTGTTTTGTTAATATTACTATGCTAGAGAGTAAAATAACAATATTATTGTGTTAAATTGTAATATTTTTAATATCTGTGTCAAACAGTAATATAGTTAATATGACTCTCAACCACATTAATATTGTTGTTTAAACAAGGCAAAAAGATGGTGAAGAAAACAATGTGTATACTACATGGAAGCAATATTGGCGTTGACCATTGGTCAGCGGCGACAGAAAGAAGAAAAGGAAAACGAAAAATTGAAAAAGTCAACGCCGACCGGCGTTGACCGGCGGAAAAAAATAGGGAAAAAATTCAACGCTGGAGAGCGGTGGCGACGGGCGAAATTGTACTCAAAATTGAGTTTTGGGTCAAAATTGAATAATTTGTGAAATTTGGGGTCAAATTGAGATTAAATTGAATTAAATGATGAAATCGGAGCATATTAAAATGTGAGGGGTATTTTAGTCTTTTAAACACATCTGGACAAGATCGTGCATGTTATAATATGTTATATCGGCACCGCCATAATAGTATTTTCTCCCCACAACTTGTAACAAGGAGTTCTCTAGAAGTTGATTAAAGAATTTGTTGCCAACAATCTCCATATCATCATTTCCTCCAAGGAATCCTTCTGCATCCAAAGCTCAACCAAGCGTTCCCTTTCCAAGTCGTATCCTTTAAGAAATATCGAACAATATGCAAAGCACTTTTTGAGTGATGGTGGCGACAAATGATCAAAACTCAGTTTCAAAATCTTGATGACTAGATTTTCATCTTTTAAATCTGAGAGCCATTTCTCATCAGTCGACAGCCACTCATCAATTGGCTTACCGCGCAACAATCTCCCAACCACATTGGCCGCCAATGCAAACCTTGGCATATTTTTGCAATAGATACGTCAATTCTCTCAAATTCTGATGGAATATCACATTCTCCAAAGGATTTTGTTTTGATTATGGACCAACACTCATCTTCTGACAAGTTATTTAGCTTGTGCATAGTAGGGAGTGTTGTTACCAGTGAAGCAACATTTTCACTTCCCGTAGTAACAACAATGCCATTTCCCGTAGTAGAACTAATTTTTCTCAACGAATTGATAAAATCACCCCATTTCCCGTAGTAGAACAAGTAGAAATCTTTGAGATCCCAACTTCTTTTGAAGCTCTTCCAGAACTGCCTGTTTATCTCCAAGTCTGGCGTTTGTTCCTGTTAACGATGTAAGAATCATATTGAAAAGAATCTTGGCATCGAAGTTTTGAGAGACATGCACCCAAAAACGCTTAGCAAAATGAGCCTTTATGGCTTCATGATCAAGCACGTTCCGAGCTACCATTGTTTTTCCGAGTCCTCCCATCCCGAAAATGGGGATGATAGAGAGTACTTGATCATTTGGAAGAGTAGTCATCGTCTTCACTATTTCAGACACGTCACCTTCTCTTCCAAGAAAAATCGGATCGATACTGAATGAATCAGTTTCCAGGCCTACAGATGATCCAGTAAGCGGAGCATATGCACCTACCACTGCCTTTTGAAGGCCATAGTCGGTCGCCTCCTTGTTGATCTCTTCCAAGTTTTGAACGATATCCTTGATTTTACGTGCCATTTTTAGGCGATGCGTATTGGCAATGCAATGTGGGAAGAAAAAATGACACTTCTTCTTCCTCTTCTTCATTTTGTCCTGGTTATGAATTTCCTTGGAGAGATGTTGATAGTGGAGCTCATCCAAGACATTATCGGCATCGAAAGCCACACCTTCAAGCTTATGCAACCAACGTTCGACAGCCTCGTCGGTGATTTGCTTCCCCTCCGCATCGTTCAAGAAACTTTGAATCATAGAGACTGAACTTTTTAGCCTTTTCAAGTCTGATACGATCCTGTCAAGCTCCAAGTTGAAGAATTGGAAGAAGCGAAAGCGTACGAGTTTAAAGAGGCTATTCAAGTCATCCATGCATAATAAAGGCTTGAATAAGAACATTGTAGAGTTCATGGTTTGGAATTGGAAGAAAAGGAAGAGGAGAGTGCGTTGGACAAGTCGAATTCCATGCATCCGAGATTCTCGCCTAACTCTGTGGCAGTTTTACGTGATTCAAATTGCTATGGAAAGCCAACTGGAATTTCTACAACTTTCATGTTTTGACCAGAGAGAGATTCGAAGTGTAACAGTGTCATAAGTGATAATGAAGTTCATGTACGTGCACAACCAATTATCCACGCGAGGTTATAAGGGTGACCGAGAAGCCGATTTGAAGATTAAGTTATTTAATTTAACTAGTAATTCATCCGTGCGATGCACAAGATCAAATTTTTTTTTTTTAAAATTATTTTGGATAAAATAAACCGAACGAAAACTTTGAACAGTTGACATACATGTAAATAATACCCAAAAAATGTTTTATTGAATCAAAATATACATTTGTTTGTGATTTACCTTCATATTCGCTGAAAATCTTTTGTACACACAACATTGCTCATAAAGTTAGTTATATCGCCCGATTCTGAGTTGATAAATATATTTATCTCAAATCTACTTTTAACTCTAGACCTTGCGGCGTACAATTGCCTATGCCACCCTAATATTGACAGTAATATCACACTAACAACAACTACTAATGCTAATACTAAAATCAACATTGATAGTACTAATACGAATACTAATATTAATACTAAAACCAACACTAATAATACTAATATTAATACTAATCATACTATTAATACGATGATTAATAATGATAGTCTAATACTAATATTAATATCAACACTACTATTAACCAACCCTCATTAGGAGAGTTGGTACCTAGCATTTACCAATGGGGTAAAGGTCTAGGCTTCGAGTCCCCCCCTCCCCTACTTCCCCTTGTAATGGACTTGAATTTACTCAAAAAAAAAAAAATAATAAAAATAAAAATCAACACTACTATTAATAATAATACGCCAATTCTAATACCAATATTTAATGTTTAAACTAATACACCAATACTAATACGAACATTAATACTCATACTAATACTAATACTAATATTAAGACTAATGCTAATGTTAATGCTAATACGCCAAGACAAATATGAATTCGAATACTAATAATGATAATAATAATGATAATAATACTGATATTGATATTGATACTGCTATTGACATTAATATTGATACTAATATTAATACACATACTGATACATATACACATACACATACACATTATATTGATACTGATACCGATAGCGATACGGATACTAATACTCATACTAATACTATTATCTTATATATAAAAGAAAGAAACGTTGGGTAACCCTAAAAAACCCTAATGGTATTTCTTTAATTATTTATTTTTAATATTTTTTCGCTACTAATTTTCAACAATTATCAATCTCTTATTTTTCATCAATATATCTCAAATCTTAAGAGATAAAGATAGAAATTCGATTTGTTAAATCTAAATCTATATATTTGGATTATAAATCTTAATATGTAAAATTTAAACGAACTAATGTTATATAAAATATGAATAGTACTACATTATTAAATTTTACTTCGTGTACTATATTTCTTATTATGTATTAAATTGATTTTTTTTACTCTTGAAATAATATCCCGTGCATCACACAGGGAAAAAATGCTAGTTAATACAAATAATGATAATAATAATGATAATAATAATGATATTGATATTGATACTACTACTGATATTAATATTGATACTAATATTAATACACATACTTATACACATATTGATACTGATACCGATACCGATACTGATACTAATACTCATAGTAATACTATTATTAATACTAATAGTAATACTAATACCAATACTAATACCAATATTAATATTCATACGAATACTTATACATATACTGATACTGATATTTATATTCATACTCATACTCATACTCATACTCATACCCATACTCATACTCATACTCATACTGGTGTTGTTATTGATAATGATACTAATACCGATAATGATACTGATAGTAACACTAATACTGATACTGATACTAATACTGATACTGATACTGATACTGATACTAATACTAATACTAATATAATACTAATACTAATACTAATACTAATACTAATACTAATACTAATACTAATACTAATACTAATAATACTAATATTAATAATAATCCTAATATTAATATGATGATTAATACTAATAGTCTAATACTAATATTAATATCAACACAACTATTAGTAATAATACGCCAATTATAATATGGATATTTAATGTTTAAACTAATACGCCAATACTGATACGAACACTAATACTAATACCAATACTAATACTAATACTAATACTAATACTAATACTAATACTAATACTAATACTAATACTAATACTAATACTAATACTAATACTAATACTAATACTAATACTAATACTAATACTAATACTAATACTAATACTAATATTAAGACTAATGCTAATGTTAATGCTAATACGCCAAGACTAATATGACTTCGAATACTAATAATAATACTAATTATGATAATAATAATAATGATAATAATACTGATATTGATATTGATACTGATACCGATACTGCTACGGATATTAATATTGATACTAATATTAATACACATACTGATACACATACACATATTGATACTGATATTGATACTGATACTAATACTATTATTAATACTAATACTAATACTAATACCAATGTTAATATTCATACCAATACTCATACATATATTGATACATATATTGATACTAATACTGATATTGATACTGATACTGATACTCATACTCATACTCATACTCATACTGATGTTGTTATTGATAATGATACTAACACTGATAGTGATACTGATACTTATACTGATATTGATACTAATACTGATACTGATACTAATACTAATATCATACTGTTAAGTGTATATTTTTACACTTTATCGTATATTTTTATTTGAGCTTTTGGTGTGATTTAACGATAATT